CATGTTGACAACACCCCTGACATCCTTGTTTCTGTTCCTCGAGATCTTTTGTTACAACAGCTTACTCACTCCCTAGCTCAGATCACTTATCACCAGTCCATGGTGGAAATGCTCCAAAAAACTCTTTCTGACCAAAAAGGGGGAGAACAAGCTAGTCATGAAGTTGAAGCAGGGACTTCTCATCCTTTGGATGCCAGAGGCAGAGAGCATGGAGTTAATGAAGAAGAAGAAAAGAATGAGGGTGAAGCTGAAGGAACAGAGGAAAGTAGTGGGTCCAGTGCTAGTGATGAAGGAACAACAGCTGATACTGAGGAGACTTTGGATATTCAGCTTTAAAGATACTTGCCTTTGTTGGTTTATATTTGTTTGATTATTTTTGCTGAATTTGTTTTTGAATTGATCTTCAATATTGTGTTATTGCTATATTGGTTATCAAATTCAGGGGGAGTTCAAGCAAAGACTTAAGGGGAGTTAAACTAAAATTTAGTTTTGATCAGAAAGTTAAAAAGGGGGAATTTGAAACACGTGGAATTCCGGGAGTTTGAAACACGTGGAATTCCACAATTTGTTTTTAACTTTCTTATTTTTAAACTAAATTTTAGTTATAGAATAAGTAGTGCTTAGTGGGCTAAGTATAGTGCTTAGTGGGCTAAGTATAATACTTAGTGGGCTAAGTAGTGCTTAGTGGGGTATATTGTGGATATTATCTTAACTACTAAACTAACCCACTAACCCATGTTCTTGAGTGTTCTTGTAATCGATTTTCTTGCAGATCATGGGCTGAGGAGTGGAAGCTTGGAATGTCTGTAAATACCGATTTCAAGACTCAAGGAAAGTTACTTATTTTCGAAGAAATAAAAACCGAGAGCTGAAAAGAATACATGAGATTTTTAGTGTGTTTTTAGAATCTGTTTTACGTACTCCTCATGAGTACATTCTTTACGTACTCCTCATGAGTACATTCTTTGTAGTCTAGATTGTTTAGTATATAGTTTTTATGTTTCTAGACTTGGTTGTAAGAATGATCAAGATAGTGATTCATTCATAAGAAAGAAGTTCTGTACGTACTCCTCACGAGTACATTCTTTGAAATCTAGAATTTTTAGTATTTATCTTTTTGTTTCTAGATTTGAATGTAAGAATGATCATGTTAATGATTCATTCATAAGGAAGAAGTTTTCGTACATCTTCCCTTTGTATTCTTGTAATACTGTTTTAATATAATTTTTCCGTCCTGTAAAGAGCAAGTTCACAAGTTTTACTTGTGAACATTTTTAGATCTGAGTATTGTCTTTATATTTCCGCTGCATGTTTACTTAAGTGTCATAACACTTAAGATAACATCTCTGTATTAAACGAATTCGGGACCATAAATTCTTTCAAAAACATTTAGTTATAACAAGTTAACAACAAACTCTAGTGGTTTCATAATAGAATATTACATTGCCATCTATAAACTTGGATTAGAATCCTTGTTGGTGCATATATATTATTTGAATATGTTCTTTTGAGGCAAAAATGGAGTTCTGACGGTGGCGCTCTAGCGGTGGAGCGGTGGAGGGCCGGCAGTAGAACTTCCAGAGCGGTGGCGCTCTAGCGCCGGAGCGGTGGTTGCCCTCTATTATTTCCATTTTTTTTTTATTAATAATTTTTTAGGTGGACTTATATCAAATGAAACTTGAGAGGATATTTTAAACATGGTTGTATTGTGAGTTTTTTGTAATAAATAAAACTAGCATTTTTTTCCCCGTGCGATGCACGCGATATTATTTCAAAAGTGAAAAGAAATAATCACTTTAATACATAATAAGAAAATATAGTAAACTAACATAGTAAAATTTAATAATGTAATAATGTAGTATTATTCATATTTTATATAACATTAGTTTTTTTTTTAAATTTGACATATTAAGATTTATAATCCAAATATATAGATTAATAGCGAATCGAATTTATATCTTTTATCTCTAAAGATTTTAGATATATTGATGAAAAATAGGAGATTGATAATTGTTGAAAATTATAGTTAAAAAATTAGTAGACAAAAAATATTAAAAATAAATAATTACAAAAGTACCATTAGATAGGATTCTTCAGGATTTAGTAAAATTATAGTTGGAAATTAGTGGAGAAAAAAATATTGAAAATATTTAATTACAGAAATACCAGTAGGGTTTTTTATGATTGCTCAACGTTTATTTAGGATTTTGATATATAAGATTTTGATAATTGTTAAAAATTATAGTTAAAATTAGTTGAGAAAAAAATTTAAAAAAATATTTAATTACAAAAATACCATTAGAGCTTTTTAGAATTATCCAGTGTTTCTTCATTTTATATATATAAGGTATGTGGGTTGATATGTAGTGAAACTTATTTTCATTGGGCCTAGATCAAAAAGCCCCTAACTTTAATTTATTTTATTTTTTTAATATAAATGTTTTGATAATATTATGTAAATATGGGTTTTTGGCCCCTCAAAATTCTCTTTTGGTTCTCCAGATTATGATAAATTGCATATTGTTTCCTATTTGTTGTTAATATATAATAGTAACATTACAATTTATAAATAAGTATTTACTTTTGCAATTTTATGTCAAACCCGAAAACAAATAAAAATGTTAAAAAAAAAAAATTGGGTATAGTGTTTGCAAGTTTCTTTATTTTGTTTACAAATAATTTCGTATGGTTAATGGCACTTTGCCCCCCAAACTATCATGCGTTTTGCACGTTACACCTGGACAAAAAAAATTACAAAATTTTACCCGAACTAGTTAAATTGTTGTACAGTACCTTAATTTTGCTATTTCCTTTCGTTTTTCGCCAGAATTGTCTGCACATGCGCCACACGTGGGTTTTGTGAGGATATAAATGTCCATTCACTTCAAGCATAACTAAAATGATATATTTCAAGGGGCAAAGTGAAATTAAGTTTATTTTTAATTAGGGAGGTGATATTCGCGGTAGCAAAATTACGAATGCGGGTTTAAAAAATCCACTCTCTACTTATGTTTCTCTCTCTACAATTTTATTTTTAATAGCTTTTATATTAGAAATCGTTCAAAAACCCATGTTATTGTAGCGATTTGCAAAGAAAAATGAGTGCATCGAATGAGGATCGAGATACGGAACCCAATGAGGTTAAATTTGTTCGTTTTTGTTCTTTAAATCGCGAAAATGCGACTCACGACCCATTTGGACGCCGAAAAATACGTTTCACGACCAAACTGGGCGCAAAAAAACTCGATTCACGCCCGGTTTGGGCATGCAACACAGCTTTCCGCGACCGGTTTGGGCGCGAATGCTGACTGTGTTTTAATATAAAAAAAAAATTTGAGTTGCAACGAGGGCTCAAATTACACGGGTTCTTGCCATGGAAATGCTTGCTTGCCTAACCAACTAGGCTACAGCCATTTTGATAACAAATTCTTATTTAAATATACTTATCTATTGCATTATACTGGGGAAAAAATTAATATGTATGCGTTGATACAGAGACTCAAACACGGGTCTATTGAGTGATAGACGAAACGCCTGACCAACTAGGCTACAGCATGTTTGTTAACTAATACTTATTTAAATATACATAGTCATTTCAGTTATACTGGGCAAGAAAAAAAATTGAACCGTACGACCGGTCCAGAACCGGCGTCTAGACCGAACGCCCAAACTAATTTTCCACGCTCAAAATGGGCGTGGGAAAGCTGTTTTCACGCCTAAACCAGGCGTAGAAACTGCTTTCACACACCCATTTTGGGCGTGAAAAATTCGAAAACCCAACACTAAAAATAGCCCTAAATCGCAATTTTTTGGAGATTTTCACATGATTAACCACAAATTCAATATATATAACTACTTTAGATGATTAATTACCTTTCAAATTGACGAGATTTTTGGATTTGGGAGGAGTTGTGAGAGAGGTTGAGGGTTTTTGTGAATGTTGGGGCTTTTGGGGATTTTGGAGTTTGGGTGGATTTGAGGATTTTTAGAGAGAGAAAGAGAAGACTATTGTGAACGACATTCGTAATTTTGCTGCCGCATAAATCATTTCAGTTTTAATTATCAGCACTTTATAAAAGAAATTTTATTTTGGGAATTTGTTTAGGTTGGGGCCCTAAGCAGCAGGGGGCCAGCCCAGCTTAGCTTGTTAGAGAAGTTGAAAGAAAATATCATAAATATTTCAAATTATTGAATGATAATCGATGTTGTTAGAACCAGATCGGCTATTGAACTAGATGACATTTGGTCATGCTTCTATAGGGCCAGATCAGTTCAATCGGATTTTTGATATTTTTTTTTAATCTGTTAATATTTTATTAATTTTAATATTTAAATAATACTATTTTATTTATATTTTTTAATCTTCTACCTATTATTTCACTTATATCTACCTCACCCCAATTTTTACTATATTTGTTTTGCTTACACTTAACATTTTATCATTATTTATTTTCCAAATCCAGCAATCGACCATCCTGTTCGACCATATTCGGCTATCCTTCGACCACCCATGACTAGATCCGGCCACTCACAACTAAGTTAGTGAATGTTTGCTTAGTCACGAACAACCAACTCAACAGTAGTTTGAGATGTTCTTGCCGAAAATCGACTCCTTTGACCGATTTGCCAGTTCTCGAGTTTTACCCGATTGAATTGAATTTTGGTCATTTGACCACGGTTTTTAATTTTTCCGATTTTAGAGGTCAGACCAGACCGCCTCATCGTCGGAACAAGTCCAATCCGGTTCTAACAACATTGATTCATAAATTTGTAGATACATATTTACCACAACTGGGCATTGCATGTTTCCAAAGAAGAGTCAATAACAAATGGAATTATCTAATTCTTCACCTAGACAACAATATAATTTGCCCTTTGCACTTTATTCAAATTAAGGATAGAAAATATGGAATCACCTTTCTCCATTGTGTTTCTTCAATAACCCTATTTAACATTTTACCTACATAATCAACTTCTTCTGCTTTTCCTACAGAATTATATAAGGGCAGTTCATTCTAAAAACAATTTATAACTGTTTCTTGAATTAACCTATGAGTCTTTGTTGCCTGAATCAGAAACCTCAGCAAGGCCAACGTTTTTATCTTTATCTTTATCTTTATATTCTCCGATAGCCGTCCAACTCTTGCTCGAACTATGGCCCACGATAATGCGCGTCTTAACATGTTCCGGCAATCTTAAAGTAAACCTATCGTCGTCGTCTTCCCTACTTCTCACTATCGAATGTCCCGTCGAGTGTGACCTACACAATTTGTCCGCCGTGTCGTTTTCGTCGTTATTATTGCTACAGGAAACCCTATCTTGCCCTTTGTCACCACCACCACCGCCGCCTCTTTCTTCGTCGTTGTCGATCGTAATCCTAACACTATCTCCGACCCTCTCGGTTTCGTTGCCGGAGAAAATCGGGGATTTCGCCGGCGTGTGCACCGGTCCGTCGAGGCTTCTTCGGCAGACGGGGCACGTCTTGTGCGACTCGAGCCATAGGTCAATGCATTCTTGGTGGAACACGTGGCAGCATGTGGTTAGAAACCGAAGGCTGTCGCTTCCTTCGAATTCGATCAAGCAAATCGCGCACTCGAGCCCGTATTTGTCCTTTCGGTACTCTTTCACGGTCGAGTATAGGAAAGTCGGGAACGACTGTACGATCAGGGGGTCGAGGCCGAGGCCGCCGGCCGCGGCGGGGTTGGCGGGGGCGACGGGTGTCCCGGCGGGGCTGTGGCGGATGTGCCACGTGCAGAGTATGTTCTGCATGAAGCAGCGGCAGAAGTATACGGAGAAGAAGCCGACGAAGAAGAAGATGAGGAGGACTATTGTGAGGACGATGATGATCGGCGGGTATGTGTATGTTTGTACCGGCGGTAACGGTGGCTGCAGAGGAGGTGACGGCGGCGGCGGCATGGGTTGGATGGAGCCTGCAGTTGCCATTGGCGTTGAGGAAGTATTGGCCGGAATGTTAATTTTAGCCGGACATGATGACGTCACTTTTGGGTTGTACGGAAAAGACGAATGGCCGAAGAGAAAGAAAAGGGAAGAAAAGAAAAAAATTAATATTATTTGTTGACATAATTAGAGAATGTAAGTCTTATTATTGACCGAGACTATCAAGGAGAATCATCCATTTGGCATAATCATTTTATAGTTTAACATAAAATGTCATGTAAAATAAATAAATATAGAATGTTGGTTAAAATTTAAAATAAATTTAGTTGAAGTAACATTTTTATAGAGCATTGGTTAATTCAACATTATTATAATATTAATTTGATATTATTATAAATCATTGGACCAAAAAACATATTGTTAACACTTGCTAAACCATTCTATATTGCAATAAATTTGAATTTCTAGAGTAGTTAATTGCTTGAACTTTTATTGGGCCAGATTAGAGGAACCATTATGGCTTTAGAAATTGTTAGAACTCCTTGGTTTATTAGGACCGGCAATTGAGTCGGGCCTAACTGAAGCCCGATGGCTCAGCCTAATTATATATAAGCCGAGTTTAATTTTAAGTAAGTCGGGCTGAGTTTGAGCCGTTCTATTAAACTCGATTTTATTTATGAGCTGAGTTTGAGCCTACTCTGTCTCAATCCAAATAAGGCCCACTCGATTAATTTAATAATTAGATATATAATATATTTATTATTTTAATATATGTTCAAACGTACAAGTTACAAGTTACAACCATATTAGATCATTTTATTTTGTTAAGAAAATAAAGTCAAAAATAAAACTTTATTTTGGACTCCGATGCAAAAATACAATTTATATCTAGAATTATTTCTATTTGTTCTGTATTTCTTCATTTTGGAATATGATGCATTTTTTGTCGTATAAAATTACTTGAGAACTAATTATTTGCAACATTAAACTTCATTGTTTTTTCTTTGACACTGACCATCTCAACCAAAAGGTTAAGCTGTTAGTGAAATGTATCATTTAATATTAATATCTCCAATACGCCCCCTCAAGTGTAGGGGAATTACATTTGAAGCCTTGCACTTGAAATATTTTTAAATGGGTGACGGTGGGATTCGAACTCAGGACCATTTCATTTGGCCTGGCTCTGATACCATTTTGAATGACCATCTCAACCAAAAGCTTAAACTGTTAGTGAAATGTATCATTTAATATTAATATCTTCAATATTTCTCAATAGAAGCTCTATATAAACCCGATGCCCAAAAAAATACACGAGCCGAGTTTGAGCATATAGTAATGAGGTTTGATAGTATGTAAGCTTGAACCTATACCAATGAGGCTCTGATGGTATATGAGCTTGAGTCAATCCAACCTCAGCTCATATGACCCAATTGCCATCCCTATTGTGTTATATCATGGTTTCCACTAATTAATATTGAGTATTATTAATTGGATTGTACAATTCTATTTGAGGATATCTAACCATGAAATGAGTTGAATGTAAATTATTCCACAAATTAGATATTACGTGTAGGTTTGAGTTCTCGATCAACAGATTATTATGTTTCACACAAGGGGTGCTAAATCTCACATTAAATTTAATTTACCTAATCCTGCACAATACTCAATTTTCTCTCTCTCTAAAATCCTCAAAAATCTTTCTCTCTTTCTTCTTTATTCATATATGAAATCCCACACTCTAAAACCCTAGCTTCCAGATTCGATTTTGACTATAAATCTTAACAAATTTGAATTCATTGTAATAAGTTGGTATCATTGATTTCATGTTTGTGATGAATAATAGTTGGTTTGTTCCTGTGTTTTTTTTTAATGAATGCGTAGAGAAAGTTGTGCGCTTCCATGAGGTTGAAGTTGGTAGCATCCAATTACGTTGAAAGTAGTTCGAATTTGTAGTCCAAATTGAAATTTGAAGCTAAAGTTTTTGGAGTGTGAGATCAGTGAGAAGGAACAGGAAAAAAAGTTTTGAGGATTTTAGAGAGAGAAACTTTGTAAGTTATGTCCGAAATTCAATAGTTTTAGTGCGGAATTTAGCATTTCAGTGTGCACAATCCCAAACTAATTCCCTAGACACGTTCGATTGGTAGTGAGAGAACCGAAATACAATGTATAATCCATATTTAGAAGGCCATAAGATTCGGGCCTATGGAGCTCAGTAACCTCGGTCCCTGATCAAGTTTGCTACCATTTGTAATGTTTCTTTCAACCTAGTTCGTCAGCCAACCACTAGCCCGCTAAGCACCGAACTAACAACGAGGTTACGACAAGGTCACTCAAAAGGTCCATACAAGCAGCGGCGGATCTACTATAGGTCTAGGGTGTGCAGCTGCACACACTTGAAATTAAAAAAAAAAATCCCTCTAAATATATGTCGTTATATTATATTATATGTGATAATTAATCAAAAGTAATTGGTAGTTTACTGGGTAATTAACTTCAATTCTATGTGACTTGTCGCATGTTCAAGTCCCAAAATCTTCAAATTTTTGATAGCTTTTCCAAAACTCTACAAATCCATTTATTCTCTAATATCTTCTCTCGGTATTTTTCTAGTTTTTCCAAAATTCTCCAAAAAATTGCAATTGATCTTAAAATTTTCGATTTTCCTACATATTATTATTATTTTATGTTGGTATATTATTATTATTAAAAAAAATCGGGGGCGCTGCCCTCGAAACCCCGTAAACGTTCGCGTGATGTCCAACAGTAGTAAGAGGCCTACTTATAAGCTGACATAACAGTAATAGAAGGTATTTAGGCTTTTTTTTTTTTTGATGGAGTGGTATTTAGTATGCAAGACCCAAAGATTAATGCATAGGAAATTTACAAACTTAAGTTTTCTAGTATATAAATTTTATTTTATTTATTTTTTAATTAAGGAATCTACAACTAAAACATATAAGCTAACTATGTGTGTCGATCTCGACCTAGAGACCGTTGGCAAGAATATTCGAACTTGGGTCAATTGAGACTAGCTCTCTCGCTCCAACTTCTAGGCAACCCCTTGTGTGGCTTTCTAGCATATAGTTCTTGGCCAGAACTATGTTTGCTTTGGTAAACTGATTATGTCATTTTTACAACAGTTTACATTTCATCTTATTGACCTTTGTTTTGGATTCTTGTCTTTTGCCGGAAAATTACGAAAATATTAAGGAAAAAAAATCTAAAAATTACCATTATTTTTTATTTTGGAACAAAATTTTTAGAATTATGCAATTTCCGAAAATTCCGAAATTCTGCCGATCCCGAGGTATTCCGAAATTGGAATGGATTTTGAAATTCCGATTTTTTTGGAACGAAAATTGGAACCTATTTTTAACTTCCGAAAAAAATTGGAAATTTTCCGAAAAAGGCATTTCCGACCCATTCCGTTCGATTTCCACCCCTAAGCTAGAGCTCAAGCTCGTTATATTTGTTTCTTTATTTTGTTAATATTGTTACTTTTATTATTATTATAAATTATTTATATTATGATAAAAATTTATAAAATAAAGAATGAACCGTAATTTATTTTAAATTTTGATATATATTTATTATATTATTATTATTATCGTTATTTAATTTTATGTTATTATTTACATTTCAAAAAAAATATATATAATAAAAAAAAAACATAGAGCTCGCAAACCAGTGAGCTCATGAACTACTAAGAAAAAACTCAAACTTTTGTCGAGACGGCTCATCAAGCTCACGAGTCGGCTAAACTCATTTATATCCCCAATTAATTCAAGAATATGTAGTATGCAGTGTGTTCTATTTTATTTATTTATTATTATTGTACAATGAATTTTTGTTTTTTTGTTTACATATATCCTCAAATTACAATAATTCACAAACTACTATTATAATTAGTAGACCAACAAACTACTATTTATCAACATACAATAATTAATCAATTTTGACTTGATTCAAGTAATTACACAAGCTTTTTTCCCCAGATACATCTATGGTTTTTCTGTTTCAGGAAATAAACTGTACAATTTTCGGTTTCTTAAATCATATGATCTGACAAAACATGAAATTAATAAAACAGCTATTGTTTTTATTTCAATATTTTCCTATTTTTGCATGTAAGTTGTTCTATTTAGTCCCCACGCCTCCTGGCAATCGATTAATTTACCATTGATTTATTAATCGACTATGTATGAAATTGATTCACGTATAATGATAATCTCTAATTATAAAAATTACATAAACCAACTATTTATTTGAGTAGGTAAATAAAAGTGAACCACTTATACAAAAACAACTACAATATTTAGAAAACAAATTTCCATAATTCACGAGCCTAAATAAATATGTAATAAATTTAAGTATTGTTGGGAGCTAAATACCTAACACGCAAGTGCACGTATCGCAAATAAGTAGTAAAAGTGGACTTGTGAGAGTCGGATGTCGATCCCACAGGGAATACTCAAATTATCTAATCATAAGTACCAAATTCTAACAATTATGATTTTTATCCAGCCTACTCAAAGTTATCAAATTTAATCAACTAAATAATTAAACTAATTATGAAAGCAAATAAACACGAGAAAATATCAATAAAAACGGACCTAGGATTTTATCTTCCCCTATGCAAGAATTGCTCACCCAAAACCCCTCAATTATGAAATATATGATTCATGATTATTAACCCGAGACACTAATTTACTCATAACCCGCTGTCGCGTGTATTATGAGTCTATTATTCATAAACGATTCACTATATGTCTATGCAAACCAATTATAAATAAAGCATTAACTAACAAGTCTCGTAAATGGCTACCTAAGGTGATATATGTATGTCTACGACACCACATGCAATTGACACACTCATCCGGTGAAAACTACTCGAAGGTTCTTATACTTACCGTCTAATTATCAAAATAGCTCTGTCGAGTCAATCCCAATAATCACAGATAAAGCACATAAATTGATCAAGTTCATGCACTAACAATCATAACAAGTATAAGAAATAATCATAAAATCATAATTGCATAATCTCAAGAAAACGGGTTCACCATCCCCACATAGGGTTCCAACAAAATCCTAGATTAAAAACTTAGCTACTCATGTTCTCTACGAAAAACATAATTAAAATATAAGAAGACATAGATTAAGAAAAGATAGATAAAAGAAGAATTGTGATGAAGATTTGTCAATTCTCCGTCTTCGATTCTTCGTTCTCTCGCTCCTCTCGCTCCAAGGTTGTGTCAAAAAAGTCCTCTAATTCGTGCTTGGTTTGGGGTTAAATAGAT